AACCCACGATCCCCGACGCCGAAGCCAATACCTTGGCAACTGGGCCACGGAGTCATCATTTGTACTTATATATTTGTAAAGTTAAGAACTGAATACGATAAATATTAAAAAAGTGAGATTTCTAAATCGGTCGGCACGTCCTTGTGTACTGTGAGTACTTAACTCACAGAACACCGGTGTATAGTAGAAGTGTTCGTACTTTTGCTATCTGTGTGAAGCTTGTAATGCTTGGCATTCCAACTGCAGTCCCATGATAATTGAGGATGTCTACGGGTGGTGGTCACAAGCGGGATCGCCTCAAAAAAGTTACAGTGTTGTTAACTCTCATGCAAACTTTCACGATACTGCGCTGCTTTTATTAGTATTTTTTAGTAACAAATTGGCCTGCACTTGACTATTTTCTTGCACGTTAAGTATCGTCTTTTAGAAATCATTAAGAAGAAACCGTGCTGAAAACCTTTAAAGCTATGCCGTCGTAATTTTATCATGACTTTTAAGTAACTTTGCGTACCGCTGCAATGCCAGGTTATTTTATGCACACTGCAGTATGCGAGCACGTTTTAAATCCCACACTAATTGGATTATTATACAGGTGAGACGCCTTAACTGCGTGTCTATTCACTAGCGAGCCGTATCGAAAAGTCTCTCACAGATACGGAATTCTTAACTTCAGTAGCACCAGTCTTTCCTTAATATTCCCAGTTAAAAGTCGAGTATAGGAAGTTGGGCATAGAGAACAATCACAACTTGGAAAAGCGGATCGATGTGTCTAAAATAGTAGATTTTTTGTTAATGAAATTACGAACCGTGTGACAAAGCCAAGTAGTTAAAAGTACTTTCGTTTAAACTAATTTCATGTAAGTTTTTAGCATAAGCTCAATGTCAATGGAATACGATTGTTTTATTCTAAAAGAAGTTAATTCTCATTTGGAACCATCTAAGAATTAAGTTAGTTTTAAATTTTGATTTTTCTTCATCATCTTCACCATCATTTTAGCGTGTTTCTTCAGCCGTAAGCGACCATAAACTTTCTTAATTCGTTTAAATTGATGCTTAACATAGGTTTCCCCCATATACTGCCACGAAGCACGATAGTAGGCCACCTGCATCCATCGACTTCCCGCACATATGCACACGTCGTCACTCCATCTAGAGGGAAGTTGTCCTACACAGCGATGGCTAATACGTTGCTGCCAAATCAGGAGGAAGAGCGGAAAAGTTTATTTACTTACTTGTTACGATGAAACCCTCAAATATGTCAGGATTATCCTCAACCGTTATTTTTGAGGAGTTGGGTTGAAAGGAATCGTGTCAGAGAGAATTACGGGAGACATCGGTATGGCGAATAATTCAATGACTCTCATCTCACGAAACCTGAAATGACATTGTTGACTCCACAATACTACTAACTGTGAAAGTTTTTAAAGATTGTTCTCATTAGATTTTGCGAGTAAAGAGATGTTTACCTTGGGAAAGGTTTACTCACTAAAAAGAGAGAGATAGAAGTGGAGATTGAAGAAAAGAGGCCCAGAGAAAGGAGGACTGGTCTAATTAATTTAAATCTACACTAGAATCGACACTACTATGCTATCCGTACCGTCAAAAGTTGAATCAGTTGGCGCAATATACGCCAAGGAGACGTTTATAACAGGACTCCAGGGTTCTGTAATTTAGATATCGACGCAAAAGGATAAGTTCGATAAATCATTATGGTACGGAAAATTTTATGTATGTAATGGTTAAACCGATTTACTTAGTTTATAGGTCGACAAAAACAACGGAACACCGGTGTTAGTAAATTAAAGAAATATTTATTTATATGAAACTCGAGATCCTACACATTTCTTTGTTGGCACACGTTAATGGTTCAAGTTGCACAGTAGGGTTAGCAGGCAGCCACACGATATGGCAATCCTTATGATGACGTGATATTTTTCATGATAACGGCATGCAACATGACTAATCGATAAATACCAAAAATTCTCCGGAGTGGTACGAACGTAGTCTTTCGAAAGATACACACTACTTGGAATTCAAGAGGATTCAGAAAACGAAAAAAGTGTCAAGTGAAAAAGCTTCAACAGTTACTTTTGCAGTCGAAGTTCACTACTTTCAAACTGGCTTTTAACTTGATGCTTAGGATCAATGTTCAATAGGACTATACTAAAAATTTTAACTTTAGATGAAAACTTAGCAGCAGACATTGTAATCACCGAGTCAAAAAAATGTAATACGAGCAGTATACACAAGTGTACACAGTCCAACTTGGCTGTAACCTATTGTATATTTTTAATTTTTTTTAAATTTGCATACTTGTGTACGTACACGCTGGTCTGGCCAGCGTAGTGGAACTATGCGTGTTTTGTTTATACATTTTTTTGGTATGGGGGAATATCAAAATATCTCATCGGGGGTGACAAGACTATATGGGGTTCGTATCGACTAAAGCCTATGTTCCGCCCTCATACCCTCTGTACTGAGGAGTTTTGTTCCACAGTGGGGCGTACATATAAAGGCTGTTATTTTTTTTACTTTACCAACTTACAAATATGGTATAAAGCCAAAATATGTCTCATCATGTACACTCCAATCTTCGTTACGTGGCCGTCAAAGAAATCGCATTCGTATCGACCATTTTAAAATATTTAAAAAATTAAGAATAACTTTAAGACAGACATTTTATTCTGAGTTCTGGATGAAGTCATTAATAAAACATTAGGCGCGTGTTAAAGAAATCCTTTTTAATTTCTTTTCTGAATGTCGGTAAGTTTTTGTTCGGCTGTTTTTATTCTGAAGGGAAAGGTGTTGCTTAAAATAATTTACACATAAATACTGTGAGTATTAAGGAAGGAAAATTTTCTCTAACGGAGAATAACATCAGCTTAGCATGTTTAATAATTAGGTATTTGAAAAAAGGTTAACTTATTTGTTTTTATTTACATTATATCGGGAAAGATCTAAAATACAATTTACAATATAAAAACTTTTTTACGTATACTAAATAATAAAGATTTGAACCAAGAGGCGTGTACAAAAATGTATCTTAAAAGCTCTGTATCTAAAGAATAGTAAAGTAATAATTCACTATTTAAAAAAAACGTGTCAAATACCTTTATCGTACAACTACACTTAAAGGTAAGGTAACGTGATTATTTAGTATAATAGGGAAACCATGTTTTCGACCTTTTGAAGATAAGCGAAGATTAGTCTACACCCGATGTGTGTCGAATTACAGTAATTGCATTAGAAGGTTGCTCGCTGTTCGATTCCATTGGTGAAAGTCTCATAATGTCGGCTTAAAACTGTTAGGTTTCAACTGAACTTCAAATGTAAATTTGCTCAGCATTACGCAAGCAAATGTTTGATTAAGTTGATGCACAGCGGAAGCGGAAGTTAATTCCTAGCAACACAAATGCGTAGGGCTCCCGACATGGAGTCATGTACAATAAATGTTTATTTTATTGATTTTCACACGGCCCGCTTCCACGCATCTCGCTGGCGCTTTGTTGCACCAGAATTATTACGATAGGGTCCAAAACTGCAATGTTAAAATAACCGGGGAGGAACTTTGCCCCATTAATAATAATGACCACGCTTGCAAAGCAACCCCACGCTCTATGAATGATTTTATTCGACAATGTTCCGTTTTGCTTCTCAATATAAAACTTTGTGACTCGGAAGCAATTTTTTATTCACAACATCAGTTTCGATCCGCTAGTACTAACATTACTTACGCTTGATTAATTTTATGTCGTATGTAATGACATTTTCCCATATTGGTGGCTAAAAAGAATAAATTATTGTAACGACAAAGGAAGCTCTACACTCTCTTACAACGAATCTTAGGTTAGTAAAAAAGACAAGTTTTATTGGAGTTTCTATGCCTACTGTAGTGAAATTCCACACGAAAATAAATGTGTCGAAATGCCTTATAGAACCTGCCTGTGTTATAATTTGTTGAAAAAAGGAAGAAAATTTTTTTCCGCTGCAGTAATCGAACCCTCGGGATTAGCACCCAGACGCTTTAATCACTAACTTAAGTGGCCATATCGACGAATATCTCAACGTCTTTTATCTACATTGTCTTTTTTCCGCATTTCAAACAATGTTTGGTGCAACTATTGTTCTATGTTTTACAGCATACATATCGCCGTGCAAAGGTAATTCCAACAGGCATTGACAAAAAGAAGAAACACTAAAATTTGAATGATGAAAAGTTATTCGCCGCTGCGGGATTCGAACCCACGTCTTCGGGATTTGCGTCCAGACTCTTTAACCACAAAGGCTGATTTAGAAAATCTCGACGTGCTTCAGCTACATTATTTTTTTCGCATTTCGAGCACAAGATCAATTAGCTGCAATTTTTACAGTAGTTGCGATTCAAGGCGCTCTAAGTTGTTAACTTTAAAACTTGTAGTAGCGACCTTACCCGCTGCCGCAAACTTTTGTCACGCAACCGACGATTTGCAATAATCGGAATATGCAAGAGTCAATGCTTTGAATCCAACAAACCTTTTTTTATTTTACAACAGAAATATTGATTGTATTACTGTATGAATGTACGGGCTTTAAAGCAATCGAAGCCAATTTCTGTCTAAAACTTAAGGAGCAGCCTTATTACTTAACTTATTAATTTACCTTTTTATTTTGGCCTACCGATTAAATTCAAAAAATATTTCTTTCCACATATTTAAAATAATTCTTCGGTCGATTAGTTCGACTAGAAGAGAATTGGCGAAAATTTCGAAGAGGTTAGGCCCACCACGAGCGCTCGTGAACGTCAAAATCCATCCCTCGCGAAACAAGCGAGCGCCGACCGCGGCAACTTCGAAAAAGTAAACAGTTCGGTCGCCCACGTTCCAAAGTTTCGCGGCCGCACTGAGCGGGGAAGTCGCGCCAGGCGACCAATTAGGGTGTACCATTCGAAGGTTGGGCAGGCGTCCTGTTTAATTGCAGGCTCGTTCGGCGTTCATTAGGATGTGCAGTTTTTCAACGCGATTATGACGTCGCAGGGCCGCCGTTGGCCGCTGGGGCGAGGAGGGCTGCGTCACGTGCGAGGTCCGCACTCCGCAGCCCCACGCATGCGAGACCGCGGGGCGCCGGCAGCGCACGCGCGCCCCCTCCACGCCCCCCTCGCCTCCCCCGTGCCTCCCCTGGCCCGCCAGTCCGCCGCCGGCCGTCGCCAGCACCGAGCGTCTGTGCCGCGCCGCGAGCGCCGCGAGTGATACCCACCGAGTGATGTCGACTTGTGACTAGTGCAATGCTCGTGCCCCGCTGTGCCTTCGCCGCGGCGCTGCTCGCCCTCGCCGCCGCCGCCTGGCAGGAGAACGTCAGGCCCAAAGTCTTCGCGCAATTAGGTGAGTGATGGTGACCGTCGGCTAGGAGCCTTGCTGGTGACGGTCCGACTGTCCCGGCGGTGACAGCTTGTGCCATCTGGAATGCTGCCAGCGGGAGGGCTCGTGCGATACGCAAACGAAGTGTTTACGTTTGCTCGCTTGACGGCAACTTGCTTACAAACATCGCTAAAGTTAGTTTAGGATCAGACGCGATCGAGAATATTTTTGAAAGTGACATGTTGATCGTTGCTTAGTCAGTTGCTGTCAAATTTGATAAGCCAACACGAAGACGAAATTACGAAATTTCGTCTTCGTGCTTATGTGAGCTGTTTCGTTTTGTGTTGGAGAAATAGTGATAACATTACGCTAATTGGAGGGAGGCAAACTTGTTTAGAGGTTATTCAACTTGGATGATCTCTATCAATCATCAAGTATTCAAGATATTTTTTTCGGGAACAATCGTTTAGCTATTTATTTCGTAGAAGCACAAACAACGGAAAGCTTCACGATATTATCATATCAATGAAAACTTTTGTACCATGTGACAAGAAATCAAGAGAGGTTATAAAAGTGGTGTACCGAATTAAGAATGACAGAAAGAATGATAGAAATTGATTTGTTTTTCCAAGATTTTCCGTCGTAGTAAATCCAATCTTTTACATATAACGCGCTTTAATAGATAAGTGTGTTGTAAATACGAGACGAAATCAAAAACATGATAAGTTTGAAGCGTTCGCTTTTGACGAGAGTCAGACCACCCGCAGCGGCGACTCTTGTTGTGCAACGATAAAATGGTTTCGTACAACAATCGTTGATGCCTTTCTAAATAAAATGAAGGGCCTATCTCTCGCCTTGCGGTACGCTAGCAACGAGTCGCAGTCACGCGATAGTTCATCCTACAGGAATAAAGGCATAGTGCACGACTGTAGTGCCATTGTTTTATTGTGCAGTCTGCATTGCGGGGGACAAGCCACGTGGCTCTCATTAGACCAACATAAAGCGGAGCAGTTTATTCTGCGTTTTGCAATGTTACGCCCGGACTAATAATGAGTGCGAGAGATGTTTTAGGTTGTGAACGGAAATCTTACGATGCGGGCGCGTTGTACGAAGCTCTCTATGTCCACAAGGTCCTTTGGCACGAAATTGCATTACAATTGCAAATGGTAAAGACCTGCCCGTCGTTTTAAGGATATGCTTTGGCGTCATACGAGTCAAGACGCGTTTGGTTCGTATGCTGAATTGATATGGCATCCGGCCTTTGTTAGAGTTCGCGTTGAAATATTAATAGATAAAATGACAACTCGATTTTAATAAAGCGTTTTATAGCAGTAACGGTATTTGTCTATATATTTGTCCTACCGTCTATAATCTCATTTGCGAATAACGTAATAAAAATCATTGACAAGCATTCCTAACTGGTGGAGTTAATTACATAGCTACAGTAGCCTTGTTTGATGTCGGGTCATTCAAAGTGAGCGTGTCAACACCTCTCTAGAAATGTGATCTACCAATTCAAACCAGGAGGGTTGGACTGACCGCACGCTGTGGTTAATAAACGATCAAAAGGATCGCATGGAAATTAACTTCAGCTTTAGTAGTATTGTCTCTTAAAAGTAAACATATGTAATGTAGTGTGCTTAAAATGTATTTCATTATGTCCCTTAAACTTATTAGTAAGAAATAGGTATCATTTTAGTTGTACCTATTATTTTTACAGTTTTTTTTGGGATCACACGTTATTACATAACATAATAAATTTCATATCAATAATTGTGACTCTCAATCAATCAATCAATCAAAAAATTTTATTCAAATAGACGCTTGCGCGTTCTTATGAATCGTCAAATTTTACATAAAAAATTATACATAAAGGTTCGTAAGGTACCACCGGTGCGGAAAGCAGTTTCTGTTTGAGAAGAGACCGGCAAGAAACTCAACAGTTGCTCTTTTTCAAAAATATCAGTTTACAATATAAGATACCGGTATAATAATCTTATTCTACCCTACGTGAGTATCAACAGTATTAACTCCACACATTGGCGTCGTCGAGATATTCCGCAATAGTGTAATACGCTTTAACCATAAGTTGACTTTTGATTTTACGTTTAAATTGATCAAGCGGCAGACTTATTATACATGCGCACACCTTGGCCTATGAACGACCTATTTACTTTTTGTAGTCGAAACAATGGCGTAGTAAGTTTGTCCTTATTTCTAGTGTTTAATTTATGTCTGTCACTATTCTTTAGGCAAAAATTAAGGTTATGACGAATATGCAAAACATTACAATAAATGTATTGAGAAGCATCAGTGAGTATATTAATCTCTTTAAAAATACCTCTGAGCGAACTCCGGGCTCCGATATTATAGATTACTTGGACAGCTCTTTTTTGTAGAATAAATATAGAATTCTATTATTTGTAGATGCTTGTTAACATTATGATGATTAGTTGACAATAAATTATTAATATCAAACTTGGTAATAAGCTCGTATCGACAGTAAAATAGCTTATAATTACAATACTATAATAAACTGTTATTAGGTTTCGAAGAAAGCAGAGCAGATTATTTGTGGACTGATTTGAATATGTTACCTATTTATGTTGATTGCGAGGTTTCATATATTTCGCCGAAAGGGAATGAGTTATACACGTGGTGACTAATTTCTCGTGCACGTAGAAGAGTGATATAGTTATTATTCTCGAAGTGTTCTAACGGGGAGCAAGTTCAATTTGTACAAATTGTGTACAAACTGCGAAGCGATAATGAAGGCAACTTCCGGCTAAGTGCGCACTCAAAGAATACAAATTCGCCTTAGAGTGCCTTGGGGGACGTACACGCCATTTTAATGCGAGTGATAAATTTTTACTGTATAATGGAATGAGTTGAAATAATGTTAGCAGCGCTGACGTGCTTCCTGCACTGCTGAATAACAGACAGACCGGTTATGTGTGGGCCGTTGTCGAGGCAAGTATTGCTAGGCGTTTGGATGCAGAAATTTCTCCGAGACCGTTACGGATGACTCACACATTAACGAGATTAAGTTAGGTCAGTGTTCGCATTAAGTGCACTTTGAGCTGCGCTTTATCTATGAACAGTAATAAATCTATAAGGTTTTTTTAATCTTTATCCTATAAGTCGTACTCCCCAAAGAACATTTAAAAACTGATTTATGTCTGCCGTTTGGGGTTAGACTTTGTGGCCGTATCTTAAACCTTATTCCTCCACCTTAATGGCATTTCATTATATTCCCTGACAGCCCCTTTATGATTTAACTGCTTGGATTATTGAACGTTTAAGTGGGACCATAAAATAACCGTTCGTGGAGTACCTGAAGAAGAAATAAATTACTTAACAGGATAATGCTTTTATATCCCGAAATGTTTTGTACGTGTCGCATTCTACCGTACGGGTATTTATTTGGTCGTTCGTCAGAAACCAATACACCAGGGAGCTGTTGTGTGGTTGGGGTGCATAATACTCGAACTTCATGTTGTTTATGATCGGGCGTGCCTGCACAATTTACGAGTATTAACTATACTGAGGACTCTACGTGTAGAGACACGTTCATAGAGATAAATATAGTTAAATCACGAAATGATGTGTTTTTTATAGTTTCTTTGGAGTGATTTATTGTATTTCGAAGCACGTGTTGAAGAAAATAATTCTTAAAAGTTTTCCAGAAAAAAATAAAATTTTCAATACGAAAAGAAGAGCTGGTGAAAGTTCTCTATAATATTTTCGTGTTATAGTATGAACGTAATATATTGATGCAGTGGACCAATGTCTGGCCGCTTGATAAGAACTCTGAGGGAGCCGCAACCACAACCGCTAATCAAAAAAGGACAAAAGTTCAAACATTCATCGGCTGCATGATCGCTAAAGTCGAGAGGAATTCTGAGAAGCGTTAAAGCAAACTGTACTTAAAGCACAAGCAGCACGGTGATTTATCGTCTGATCAGTTCCGTTTGCGGCTCGAGATGTAGATGTGTACCTTAAGATAGGGCGATAAAGCATGTTCTGGTTTAGAAGAGCGTCTTGAATGGACGCGGCGGGCGACGTTGCACGCACGTGCGTGCGGGGAGCGCGGGGACCCCGCCCTGGCGCCGCCTGCCGGGAGAGGGACCTACTTTATGACGACGCGATATATTGTCTTCGCCCAGTGTGGGATTTACGGTTCCTTCTATTTTTTTTTGGACACGCCGATTAATTTCTTTTAGTGGGCCCTCCGGGGACACGTTTCGGGTGGCACAATCAAATTCCTCCTTTATTCTTTTCGCTCCAACTTCCCCCGTCCGATGCAGATTAAAATACAATCGCCCATAAATCCCGCGTTCCGGATTTAAAGCAGTAAAAGTGGGCTCCGAAGGAATCACGGCGTCGTGGAGCGTTTTAATCGCGGTGTCAGTGGACGCTTCCGTCATAAATTGCATCTGCCGCGAAAGCATCCCATACAAAACGTTGACATTAGCATACGCGGTCCGCCAGCGGTTGTCATTTTAATCGCCGCGGGCTGAATCGGAGAGAAAAGAAAGAAAGGTGGGCAATGAATGGATGCTCGATCCAACCCTCGTTGATGAGGACAAGGCAAACATTGGTTTAGTAATAAAAATATTTGTTCAAATACTCAATGCGCAATGGGAAGGAAAGGCGTTTTTTACAAAGCCGATCCCGCGAGTGTGCCTAGTTCATTGTCGTGCAGTTTTTAAACCCGGATTAAAAGGAAGCTAATAATGCAGCGCAATGAGGGGAGCTTGCAGTCAGTTGGCACATTGTTACGATTTTCATGCAAAAGGTTCCGCGTGCAACGTAGATTTAATGCATTTGTGTCCTGGTGTTTATTATTAGCGGAATACCCGGACTTTTTGCAATAATCCTAGTTGATC